AATTAGCGTTCTGAGTGTTTAGTGTTACCAGTGTAGTTGGTTAATTTCACCGCTTCTCGCGGATGTGACCTTCAACCGTCTCCCTATAATCAGTATGGTGTGCGTGCGGTAGGAGCACCGTAGGACAAAATAATATGTGATGATAGGGTTTCACGGTTGCATCTGTGAATGGGAAAGAAAGGAACCCTCGTGAACCTGTTTCTAGCAAGGAGAGTACATTAATCACAACTTTACGTAGAAATTAGCCCAAAGTTGTAAGTTGTGCACTCAACCTGGCGTTGGCAGCCACCACAGTAGTTCCAACAGGGAGATCCCATCGAATATTCTCCACTCCTGTGAGGAGACCACATCAGCGTTCCCCGCTTTGACATCGGATGCGATCTTTTTGAAAAGTAACCCAAAGAAGAGGTACAGTACCTCCTGTGTTGGGAGATTCACTCTACAAGGCTGAGGTGACGGTAATTTCCTGTCGTGGGTTAACAAACATGTCAGAGAGGTAAGAACATTGATCTTTCTTCAATGCAAATACATGGAGAGGTTTTGGCATTGCAAAGTTACTTTCACATTGGAAAAAAAATATAGCTGCTTGTTTTAATACTAGAACGGTATGTATATTTTAAACTGCCATCCGCCAAAAAGCGCTGGATGCAGTCTTATCAGTATGCCTATTCTTCGTTCACCAGGTACCCCCCGCTGTAAAGGCGATGTATGCTCGTGGAGTAAAACGAGTCCCTCGTCCTTCAGAAGCTAAACCTGATGTTCCACACCCACCGTCTCCCGGAAGGGATGATTCAGCTTTGGTACGTTGTCTGACATCGCGTAGTAAATTGCGTGGTACAGTAATGTCATTTTAACCCCCCCCCCGCTGGTCTTCCTCCATATTTCACCGATCGCCTGAAGGCTATACGTCCTGTATGCTTCTGTGAGCTGCCTGTGTGCTACCACCTGTATGCTACTTCGAGACCATGGACGACATTCTATATTTCGACTGTTTGAATCACAGCATGTCCTTTTTTGTGCTAATCAGGCCGGATTTCGGGCATATCTTGTAATTACATATGTTCGAAGGAAAAATAACATTTTTATTGGCAACCGTTTGCTTACTATATCGAAAGTAATACAACATATCAGCAGTACTGTACGGCAAAGAGTTTTGAGAACGTGATTACAAACTATGAGGGTTCCACGAGGAACGCTCATGGGGATTACCAACGGGTCAGATGAAACCCAAGCGTCGAATGGATATATTCGGCACTCTAATGCTAGCTGTTTGACAGCCCTAAGATTACTGAATTCATTTCGGTCAACAAAAACTTCTATTTCGTATATCTTAATAATTCGTTTTCTAGTTTGCCTCTGAAACCTCGGGAGTCGAAATGCTCCTGGGACGTTCTCTCACACACACATTAAGTATGCAGACGATGTTGCTCTCCCTGGTTCAGATCCTTCCCAGATGCAAACGATTTCAAATAACCTAAATAACTCTGCCCCACGGTTTGGCGTGCGCTTCACACCTGCGAAGTGTAAAGTGATCCTACAAGACTGGGTGGGATCAAACCCACACCTCATGCTTGCGGGTGAGCCAATCGATATGGTAGCTGTATAAGTTTCGGTGGATTGGCTGGAGATGGGATGATTTTTCGAATAGGAAAGGCCAGGGCAGCTTTTGACAACCTCCGACACCTATGGCGCCGACGTGACGTGAGCTTGTGCGTCAAGGGAAGAGTTCAAACTTTATACTTCACACTTCATACTTCTTTATGGATCAGAGACTTGGCCCTTGCACTCAGAGATCATACGGAAAATGTCAGTATTTGATCATCGGTGTCTCCGAAGCATTGGTCAGGTATGGTGAGAACCTCGGACTAGTAATGCTGAGGCACGCCAAGTGGTCTTAGGATGAAGGAACTCTCCCCCGATGGATGAATTACTCACGCTTCACAAGCTGCGCTAGTTAGGTCATGTACTCCGCATAGCAGAAGACCGTCTGCCTCACAGAGCTCTTTTGGCCCAGCCCTGTGATGAGTGGAAGCGACCGAGAGGTGGACAGTGTATGACCTGGCAACGAAGTACAAAATACTAACCAGTACACTTAGTCGGAGGGCAACTGCCGCTTTCCTGGATAGGGACTCTGGGACTCAGATCACCAGTGGTTAATGACATTGTCGGAAATGGCCCAATCGCGCTGTCAGTGGCGCTGGTGCATCAGATCTATCGCCCGCACTGCGTAGCTGCTCAATTTCCGAACAAACTGAACATGCCTTCGACTCCAAGGCTTGGTTGTATATTGCACTTCCCCGTTTCCGGTGATCGAAACTGTAGCAGCTAGAATCAATGCGCCTCTGGCACACGGTTTATAGCTTGATAATTGATTAATTGTTTTCTAGTTAGCTTAGCTTTGTTCACTCAACTTCATGCATCAATAAGAATAATTGCTGAATGTTGATAATAACATCGACTTGTTTAACCGACTTGTTTAACCAAAAGAACAACGATCTCGGTAGACTACCACAACGCCCCACCCACATTTTTGACGGTCCCACGCGTCTGTCGGCACTCACAAACAGCTGTTCTTGTGTCGTCGTCTTTCGCTAATCAATATCAAGGCTAGTCAGAATAGTCGTCTCGCCTTAATTTTTTATATTGGCGTATATTACTTTTGCATAGTGAATGCGTAATCTCTTTCGTTTTTTCCACAGTTTGTCCGTGGATTACTTGAATTTTATTTGAAAAGTTCATCACTACCCTGCCGTGAAGAGAACCCTAAAGAGCCTGTGGTAGATGAGACGAAGCTGTCAACTCCAGACAGCAGTGTTTGCCCACCGCATGTGCCATCAAAATCACCGTTGACTACTGATATCAATGAGCCATGGCCCACTATAGAAAACTGCGTGAAGAAGTTAGCGGAAATCGGAAGTTGCTTACAAGGTGAGATTCTCGTTGTCGTAAGTTAATCGTTTGCTAAATGAAGATGACAAGCTGCTTATCCTAGTCAGTTGTCCCATTATTATTTCTAAAGTTTTTTTTTGAGGAATACACTATCTTTAACGGAGTTTGACTTTAAAGTTGTTGTGACCCCTTTGAGACAGTAACTGGCTAACTGCCGTCTGAATCCGTCAAATACCCACAAAAATTTATCATGCGAGAAGGTATGGAATTAACCAATTGAAATACAGGTTGAATGTCATGTCTGACGAGTAAAACGCAACAGATATGTAGCATGGATATAGCGAACAAGACTCACTCGTCAATAGTGCCACCGACCGAACCCTAGGTTCTGCCTCTGCGGATTAGCCTCCCTGTGTTAGTACGCAAAGACGTTTACTACCGGTTTGATCTTCAAAATATATCGTGTTTGTTGGCAGTCCTGGATGGTCCGGTTGGATAATGCTAGTTATTGGGCTGTTTTCGAATAAGGAAGCTCCGCGAACCCTCTGCAGCGCCTCTGGCACACGGTTTATAGCTTGATAATTGATTAATTGTTTTCTAGTTAGCTTAGCTTTGTTCACTCAACTTCATGCATCAATAAGAATAATTGCTGAATGTTGATAATAACATCGACTTGTTTAACCGACTTGTTTAACCAAAAGAACAACGATCTCGGTAGACTACCACAACGCCCCACCCACATTTTTGACGGTCCCACGCGTCTGTCGGCACTCACAAACAGCTGTTCTTGTGTCGTCGTCTTTCGCTAATCAATATCAAGGCTAGTCAGAATAGTCGTCTCGCCTTAATTTTTTATATTGGCGTATATTACTTTTGCATAGTGAATGCGTAATCTCTTTCGTTTTTTCCACAGTTTGTCCGTGGATTACTTGAATTTTATTTGAAAAGTTCATCACTACCCTGCCGTGAAGAGAACCCTAAAGAGCCTGTGGTAGATGAGACGAAGCTGTCAACTCCAGACAGCAGTGTTTGCCCACCGCATGTGCCATCAAAATCACCGTTGACTACTGATATCAATGAGCCATGGCCCACTATAGAAAACTGCGTGAAGAAGTTAGCGGAAATCGGAAGTTGCTTACAAGGTGAGATTCTCGTTGTCGTAAGTTAATCGTTTGCTAAATGAAGATGACAAGCTGCTTATCCTAGTCAGTTGTCCCATTATTATTTCTAAAGTTTTTTTTTGAGGAATACACTATCTTTAACGGAGTTTGACTTTAAAGTTGTTGTGACCCCTTTGAGACAGTAACTGGCTAACTGCCGTCTGAATCCGTCAAATACCCACAAAAATTTATCATGCGAGAAGGTATGGAATTAACCAATTGAAATACAGGTTGAATGTCATGTCTGACGAGTAAAACGCAACAGATATGTAGCATGGATATAGCGAACAAGACTCACTCGTCAATAGTGCCACCGACCGAACCCTAGGTTCTGCCTCTGCGGATTAGCCTCCCTGTGTTAGTACGCAAAGACGTTTACTACCGGTTTGATCTTCAAAATATATCGTGTTTGTTGGCAGTCCTGGATGGTCCGGTTGGATAATGCTAGTTATTGGGCTGTTTTCGAATAAGGAAGCTCCGCGAACCCTCTGCAGGTGTCCGTAATAAATCAGCAACAAATCGGACTGTCTCGGGCGATTTTAAGACCGCACTTGTAGACCCATGGCTTCATCTCTTGATTGTATCCATTCCGTTTGATGCCTCCTGACTGCATTTGTGTATGTTAGGTACCATTCTGCTCGTTCCACAGCATCGATACAAATGGGTGGCTTGTTCTTTCTTTCGCTTACGGATTCTTCTGCGTACTTTCTCCAAAGCTGTCTGTTTTCATCGCTTTGACCTCATATAGTTTTGAAAAACGGCCAAAAACAAGTTTCGGGCTTGATGATGTCTTATTGTGTCTCTTCCATCGACGTTACTACATCTTGCTAATTGCTTGTCCATCATCATTCAGATCTCCCTGCGGATAGGCGGGATCTCGTTGACTTGCCTCTAATCATTTCGCTGATTGAACAACGTATTCGGCAAATTTCTGGTCGAACGGTTGATGCTACATTATCAAATTCACTCGGCTTAGTTTCCCCCTTATCCGAATCTCCGTTGTGGAAACTCCGTGCGCGTGCAGTATTTACTCCCTGTGGGGGCACGCATGGACCTGTTGTTCGGATGCATTACCGGCAACTGACTGTTGGTACTTGTAAGTTGACTGCTGGAATTTCTGTGCTCAGTCAGTTTCCACTTTAATGTTTCAATTACTTCTGTACTAAATGTCTACGCTTTCGTTCGTCTCCTGCTTTGGCCTAATGGTCCTCGATGCACCCGCAAACTGAGGTTATTATAAACGTAGACGTTTCGCTTTGGGTGGTACGCAAAACTTGTATGCCTGTTACTTGATGTCATTACCTGTTCCCGTTGTTTATATCCGCGGAATCCAGCCGCATTATTTGTGTATGTCTTTGTTTCCCAACCACTCCATATCCGTTGATGATATAGCTCCGGAGTGTCATCTCTTGCTGAACGATCATCGCCTGAACGGTTCGACCAAATCATGTCGTTTCGTTTCGCCACACCACGCCACCATATTCTACGACGAATGGACTCATCATTTTGAGCTTATCAACTACAGCGAATTTGGCAGTCGTGTCGACGGTGTGACATACAGTAATGATGTGGAACCTCGTTGGTCTGAGGTGTCCAAAGTAAGTGCACTTCCTATCTTTTCTTCAGAAAACAGTTGAGCGAACGCGTTATAGCTTTCCTTGTAATGCAGCAAACCCTCAAGAGCCGGCCTTCCGTAGACCAAGAAAAACGCACTCGCATTCGAGTTTCATAGGCATCCACATCCCGGCCCTAGAAGGCATTTCTGTTTGAGGCGGTTAACTTTCTAACTTCCCGTGTCCGCTGGGTATTTCCAAAAAAGTTCTGGAAGAAATAATACGCTCACAAACGCTGTCTGTCTAGCGATGTTGTCTAGTCAAGCCAAAACTGGTCTTACTGGTTGAACTTTTTTCGAAGAACCTGCCTTTGTGGGTAACAAAACGATGTTTTAACAGCATGGAACTGATCTGGATTAAGATTGAAATAAATACAAGAGCATTTCGGATTATTTTTTAAATAAAAATAAATTTTATTGCTTGCGTTAATTGAACGATGCTGCAGGCGAAACTTCTTGCTGGTGCGTCCTAAGAAAGAAAGTCATTTTAACAGGGTGGTAAGTGTCTTTGCGTTCACCCTTCCAAATCGTTTTGGGACAGTATTAGTCTCTGCTTATCAGAAGTCACTTCGTCGTGCCGTCCTCCCATTTAGTGATCACCATATTCCCCTGGTAAACAACTTCCCAGCCTACAATGTCCCCTGTAGCACCAAAAAGTTTCTGTCATAGCGAGCGAAGAACCACCACGAACGATACAAGAAGTGTTTTGTGAGGAGCCCTCATTCAATACGGAATCGCTTCTTGGTTATCACACGATTATCATTCGATCACAAGTTTGCGGAAAGTAACCGTTTTCAATGCGCAACTATCCAAGCAGAAATGCGACGATCTAGCGAAGCGAAGCTGAAACCTAATGCTCCTGGGCTCCTCCGTGTATATTGACCTGAGGAATGAAGTCAACTGGGTAAACCCGGCTACAGCTTCTTGGCTGACGACCTTATACGGACAGCTAAGACTTGCTCTGTTTGATGAGTACAAGTCACCGAGGATTCCACTAACTTCCTCTTTGGATTGTACTAAGTGCTACAGTGTACATGCACATTAACTTGAGGTTCGAGTGACTTCATTGTTGTGCTCCCATAACGTGTGCATTTCAGGACGGGTGTAGCCATCGAAACAACACCGCTTGGCTGCGTTTATGAGATGAGCGTAATTTTCGCATCATTCGGCGGAGAGCGTATTTTTCAGCAGGTGTATGTGTTACTGGCGTACGCTCATGATGTTTATGTTCGCGAAAGACCAAGCCAGTTCGTCTGTCCTAGTGCCGAGTATCCGGTACTATGTTTGGCTATCCTTCACAGCGTCCCAGGTCTCCATTCAGCAATGACCTATTCTTCTGCATTTTGCGGCAGTCTGATGTTAGGCTATCAGGAAACAAATCGGAGAGCTAAAACCTTTAACACTATTGTCTTAACATTCAGACATACCATAGGTGTACCAATTTTCCGGAGAAAAAAAAAACGGACGCGGCAGTCCTTGTCTGTAAGGGCGCTCTGCGGATCAGCTATAAGCGCGGTCTGGTAAGGACAGTTTATGTCAGGAAAAAACAAATTTGTCCCACCGACGTTGTTCATGACGCACTAAGCCACTTAGGCCACATTTCCCGTGTACACGCTCGTGAAGAGATGCAGCATTCTCCGTTCAATAAACAAACAACAGTCCTCATCTAAGTAAGCCTCCAATTAAGTACCTCTTCCACAGTTCGCCATGTGTCATGTGTGACATGTAGGCGGACGGTCGCCTGTCTGGGTGGAAGTGCGAGGCAGCGATGACTGACGGATGTTCCAGTTGTGGTGGAAAGCCGTGTGGATCCACCGGATTCATCTATGACGAACCAAGGTTCCTCAATCGCTCGCCATTTGCTCAAGTCGTCCCTACAGTGACACCTAACAGCAGATTACAGTGATTTGGGCGGTCACATATAATCGGGAATCTGAGTTTTGTCGACGTAAGGAACTGAGCGTCTTGTTGAAGCGCCTTTGTTCTGTAACGGAATCAAAGTTACCTATGATTTTTCTATGATAAATAAGGTTGTTGAAGGCTCTTCGATATCTTGCTACCGGTTTTGCCCTTCCATGGGCTCATCAGTAGGGATGAGCTTCTGTCAACTGCGTTTTAGTTGAGTTGGGGCGACTCGCTAGCTAAATGCGTACCCAACATCTTTTCTCACCATGTGGCAAGATGAACTCGGTTGTTGT